CTCCCTCTCTCTCTCTCTCTCTCTCTCTCTCTCTCTCTCTCTCTCTCTCTCTCTCTCTCTCTCTCGCTCTCGCTCTCGCTCTCGCTCTCTCTCCCTCTCATATATTTCAGTGCATAGCAGAATGAGAGGCAGAGACGGTCGGCGGGGCAGCGGGAGCGCCGTCTGGTGCCTCGGTGGATTTATCGACCGCAGCTGTTGAGCGGCTGTCAGACGTGTGCGAGGAGTTCCACCGCCGCTCTTCGAACTCCTCTTAGACAGAAAAAGAAGGCGAGCGAGCGAGTCTCGCCACGACCTCAGTGAGTATCCTTGTTGTTTTCCATTTCCAAATTTGCGTGTCACTTCGTTTCTCGTGGGACATTTGAACTCTTTTTTTTTTTTTTTTTTTTTTACACCTCCACATCTCACGCTGAGCTCTGATGTTAACAGTGTTACCATACAAGGGCAACAATACTAAAATAACTCGAACAAACACAATGTCAGCGTGAGTGATATTTTGAGTGGATTATTTCATGTGTCCATGAGCCAAACCACTCATGTGTGTATATTGTGTGTGTATATGTGTGTGTGTGTGTGTGTGTGTGTGTGTGTGTGCGCGTGCGTACTGTATGTCCTGTTGTGCCATTTCTAAAATGTACTTCCAACACAGTACAGTGTCCTCTATTTATAGAATGTAAAACAGCAGAGTGAAAGACGGGAAGTTCCTCTTCTTGTGGGGATAGTTTTTAATCAAATCCTTTCAGGACTTTTTCCATTTGTGGTTCCGCAATACATCATCTTCAGTGGTTGTGTCCTGGTTTTGCTGGGGTTTTTTTCCACAGGTCAACTTTACTGTGGATTAACATGAAGTCGTGTAAAACTACAAGTAAAAAGTCCTCACCTGATGCGACAATGCAATATTATCAGTGTCATAGTATTACAATGAGCGGTCGCAATGTTGCGAGAATAAGGATGTAACATGGTATAAATAAGGCTGTAATGTGATGAAGCACAGCACTAGTCGACAATAGTCGGACATCATATTACAAGTTTAAAACTGTAACACTCACATGCGGTTGCTTGAATTTTTTGTTGTGCTATTGAATAAAATCATAAAACTATATTGAAGAAATAAGTTGAAATGTGATCAATAGAAAGTTGTAAAGTTACGTGGGAAAAAGCTGGAATGTTACGTGAAGAAATTCATATTGTTACGCTTTTTTTTTGAGAGTCGCTTGGAAAAGTTAAGAAAATAGTCATTTTATTCAACATGATGAGGTTGTAAGAATGTATTGGTAAGAGCGAGTGAGTTCCAATTTTGGAACTCTTGGAACTCCAAGAGACGTAATATGAACACTATTTTATTTCATTCTGTGATGCATTACAACTTTTTTTTTCTCCTCATACAAGTTCTCGTTTGTTTCTAGTGCTCTAGTTACAGTATGTTTTTCTTCATTCTTCTTGTGCTTCGTAATGCAGATGAATAGTTCAAAAAAATAACATTGGCGCAGTCCTTGGCCCCAATAGGTTTGAGTCGGAGGTAAATGTGTCCCTGAGGCCGCTTGTTGTCACAGTGCGCAATGCTGACAGCGCGCTGACTGGCGGCCAGGCTGCGCTGATGCATCTGGACGTCCATCTGCCTTCGCATCGGCTTGTTGAATGCACTTTGCTTGATATGGCGCGCTCTCTCTCTCTCTATCTCTCTCTCTCGAGTCAAGAACATTTTACTCTCCCTTTTTGTGTGAAACTGCTGGAAAAGTTGACAAGCTTTCCATTGGCACAATGAGTCAATATGCACCGGGTGTGTCTGCGCACCACAAGAATGCAATAAAGAATGCTCAAAAGCCTCTTTCACTTCCTTTTCTTGTCAAAAAAATGTGTACATTACCGATGTTTTTAAATGAAACTGTGACTTTATCCCTGTAAAATTGTTTTGTTTTCTTTTGGACTTTTTCCTTATAAAAGTATACCTTTTTTTCTCACAATATATTTTTTAAATATCATTTTCTATCATACATGATTTTTTTTTTCTCTCGTTACAAATTCAGAATTTACTCTCAGTAGTAAAACTTGCAGAATTTTATGCAGCACGGTGGACTACTCTTTAGCCCATTAGCCTCATAGCACTCAGGTTTGGGGTTCAAAACTGCACTCCGGCCTGTTTGGAGTTGCCATGTTGCCCCCATGCCGTTGTGGGTTTTCTCCAAGAACTCTGATTTCCTCCCACATTCCAAAAACACGATTGTGAATGCTCATTTGTATTTACACTGTTAGAGAGGCAGAGTATTCATATTTCTGTTTTTGTGGATCTCACTTGATGATTGTGCATGTGGACCGAATGACGTGACTTTTGAGTAAAACATAAATGCGCTTGTGTTACATGAATACAGTACCGTCTTTCTCTTGTGTTGGTGTCTTATTCAAGCGGGTGTTCTGATGATGTCTTTGTGGTCCGCATATAGCAGATGGCGGGTGAGCAGTATGAGAGCAGCACGGAGGGCAGCAGCGTGCCCGGACCCGTGCCCGAGCACGTCTACAAGGTCGGCATCTACGGCTGGCGGAAGCGCTGCCTCTACCTGTTTGTCCTCCTGCTCGTCATCATCCTGGTGGTCAACCTGGCCCTCACCATTTGGATCTTCAGGGTCATGTGGTTCAACTCGGTACGTGCCGCCGGCTTCTTAAGCAGTGTGTGTTAACACTGATGTCGAAATGGAATCAACGCATTGCACTGACCGCTTAGCAGTGCTCCATTCACACCTTGTGATGATTCCGATAGAAGTACAGTGGTAGCTGTACTGACGAAATTAATTGGTTCTGGAAGAAATTCCTTTCCTAGAAAATGTTCTAAGTAGGGACGCGTTTTCCATGTAAATGCCTTAATCCGTTCCAAGCCCCACAAAATTCAGACAGAAATGTTTTCGAAAGCATAAAAATGCATCAAAATATGTAACAAATACATGTTACAATTAGATTATCACGCAATAAATGAGTTGTGTATAATATAAAAAAACAAAGAAAAGAGTAAAGAATAAAAATGATGGTCATTTAGCTAACTGCATCCTCATCGTTTTTTTTTTTTTTGTCCTCTTTACTTCATGTGCTCTCTCAGAAATGTTTGCAGCAACATTCACAGTCACACATCAAGGAATCCCAAATTACTTTTCAATACATTGTTCCCCGGCTATTTGAGTAGATTGGGACCCTGCCGTGAATAAAAGAAAAAAAAAAAAAAAAAGCAATAATTGACGCTCCCCTAAAGAGGTTTCAAATTGCCTTTCGATTCCACAACATTGTGACAAAGCACGACTTTTCTATTAGACTGGGCATGGCCTGTGTAAATGAAGCTCATTCCCTCATTGACACATACCGGTCGGTAGTTCCTTGGTACCAAGACCACCAGCTGACTCCGCATGCTTTGTGAGTTCAGGAAGGAATGGGCCTCCTGCAAGTCGACTCAAATGGCGTGAAGTTGGACAAGGGTGAATCCGAGTTCCTGTTGCCCCTCTACGCCGAGGAGATCCACTCCCGAGATGTATGTGAACTTTCTCTGCTCTCTTTTCCCTCCCCGCTCATTAAGCCGTTCAGCAAAGTTGTCATTATTCGCTCTGCGTCGCTTTTTACCCCCCCCCCCCCCCCCCCCCACCCGATTCTTGGCATGTGTGGCTCGCTGGTTTCTGGCATACTGTCCTTTTTTGAGCGCTTGGAGGCAGTTTGGAAGGCAAGCAATCTCCCAAAGTCTCCCACCGCGCCCTTGCTCCTGCAGCGAGCTTCCGATGAACCTCAAGGATTTTTGCGGTGGAAACCTGGTTTACGGCCCGCCTGCGAGCAGCACATGGGAACACTTTGCTGCAGTTGTTTCCATGTTATGGGTTTGCTTGCTCATGGCAGGTTTTTTTTTTTCAAACTTTATAAGATGTCATTGTCAAGACATTTGTTGTGTTTGACGCTTGCATTCGGTGAGTCCCCTCACTTGTTATTCCGCTCGTCAGGATATCGGTTTCCATCCGCGTCGGATGCCCTTTTCGACAAGGAACGCCAGACAAATTTCATTTGCATCCGATTAAAATTTGGTGCGTGTGTCACAGTACTTGACAGCTCGACACGGGCTGAACATGCTTTTCATCCGGCTGTTTTCTGTCGCGCTTTTCGTTTGACTTTGGCTGACAGGTGGCCAGATGGCCCGTGCCAATCAAAAAGGCACAAAACTCTTCACCTCACATGCGTGTTTTTGAAATGTGGGTGGAAGGTGGAGTAGCCTCAGAAAACCCACGCAAGCATGAGGAAAACATACAAACGCCTTTCGACTGTTGAGCACGGGCATGCTAACCACTGTCTCCCACCGGCGCTTACCTAAAGTATCTTTGAATCCACTGTAATGTGGTCAGTTTGAACATTTAACTCTCTGATTCCACGTACCACTTGGGGGACTTAACGCCACACTTTTCGAATCATTTCTTGATGTGATTTGTGTTGCATGTTGACAGAATGTCAGTCTTTTCATTCTAGTGAGGATTCAAATTTCCTTTCATTCCAGGACTCTCCACTACTTGTACATTCAGATACGGAAAACGTGTACCTCAATGCCCGCGATGAAAATGGCGATGTCACAGGGAGGATGTCTGTGGGTAAGAAGCAGAGCGAGAGAACACACCCAAAATAAACTCAACTCAACCGCATTGAAAAAAAGATACATTTCTCACCCGTTCACGTGCGAGAGCAATAGAAAAGTTAGTCGTTCTTCTTTTGAGCATTTTGACAAGTGATCATAACAAAGAACTTTAAAAAGGTCGCGCTCAATTAGACAATGAGACGGATTTGTGTTTGTTTGTCCGACCTAACCACAAACATTTCTGTATCTGACTACGGTACGTGCACCGATGGAATGATTTTCAATTGTCATAAATGTCATTGCAGGTCCACGACAGGTTGAAGGATACACCCCGAACCTGCTCATCAGCTCCTCCGGTGACATGCTGTTTTCTGCAGATGGCAAACAGGCTGTGATTGGACCAGACAAACTGCGCATCACAGGTGCAAAGAAAGCGTCGCAAAATGAAAATTCAGGGCAATGAAAGCATATTCTATGTGTGTAGTTATGCTTCATTGGTGAATTGGCATTAAAAATCTGATTTTAATTTCATTTCATTTTAATTTCCAAGTGACAGTCCAGAAATTGCACAAACAGAAATAAATAATGAGTAAGTAACATGGTTTGGTCCGTAACATGTCAAAAAATAGGCACGCCTTGATCATTATTTTCCAATGTAAAAGCAAATGTTTTATTTCGATTCAACACAAAGTCTGGTGAGAAACTGAAATTCTGAGGATCTGAAAAAAATGTAGATTTAAAAAAAAAAAAAACGTAAACGTGGAGTTTGCATGTTCTCCCCCGGCCTGCCTGGGTTTTCTCCGGGGACTCCGGTTTCCTCCCACATTCCAAAAACATGCAAGGCAGCCCGATCGAACACTCAAATTGTCCCTAGGTGTGAGTGTGAGTGCGAATGCTTGTTCGTTTCTGTGTGCCCTGCGATTGTGTGGCAACCGATTCAGGGTGTCCCCCGCCTACTGCCCGAAGACAGCTGGGATAGGCTCCAGCACCCCCACGACCCTTGGATGATATTTCAATAATTCATCGACTTTCAAAAATATTTGTACATACAGTGTTCTCTTCTTCTTCCGCTGTGGTTATCAATGCAATCATTGACCTCACACAGTGTGTTGAGGGGGGTGTCACCCGCTAGCTCCATTTCGCCCGGAGTCACTTTACTGCGTGCAGCACAGTAGTCCAAATAAAGCCTGCGCACCCCAAGGAAACATGTTTGGCTCAGCATTGTGATTCTTTCATTGACTCCGCTGTCGCCCTTCATTTGTCTCCTGCACGCATCTGCTCATTCGCTTGAGTCAAAGTGAGTGGAGGTCATCTCCACTCCTCTTCCCACAAGGCCGCAGGCCTGACAAGCCTACTCACTTTGTATAAAACAGTGTGGCAAAATATTGGGACACCTGGCCCCTACATCTGCAAGAAGCCGTTTTGAGTGTGGACTTTTTTTTTTTTGAGTATTTTTACCCGTAAGGGCCACCATAGTTCTTGCTCATGTTCGGCAAAGCAGAAGAACAGTCGAAACAAATCAGTTGTTGTGGTTTGTGACACCGTGCATCACTTTGTTTGTTCACAACTGCACGCATATTGCAATTTGGACCTTGGTGACTCTGAAGCCAGAACACTGCAATTAAGTTTTGGGATTGAAGATATTTATTGACACATCGACATGATCGGAAATCATCACACTTTGATAAGCAAATCGCCGCTCTGTATCAAATCTATAAATCTATGAGAAGAATGGAAATCTGTGTTATCTGTGTTGTTTATTTACTCCCAGGTCCCGAAGGAGCGCTGTTCCAACATTCAGTGGAGGTTCCTCTTCTCAAGTCGGAGCTCTTCAAAGACCTGAAGTGAGCACGGCAGCCACATTGTTGTCATCTTGTCAGTCCGCCAGCCAATCCCACCATGACTGATGGATGCTGCTCTTCCAAGATAATGCAATGTTTTTCTTTTCCTCCTCAGGTTGGAGTCTCCCACTCGTTCGCTCACTATGGATGCTCCAAAGGGAGTTCATTTAAAAGCCTTGGCTGGAAACATTGAAGCAGCTTCCAATATGGATGTCATTCTGCAGTCCAGCGTGGGACTGGTAAGGACGACACGCTTCTCTCACTTGAATGTCAACATGTAGAGTTACAGGGTGGAAACAGGCCACTGTTTCCACCACTTTGGATTTTTTTTTTTATGCCAGGAAAACTGCCCGTGTCTCTTGTTGCTGGGCAGAACTCATAAGGCTCAGTTACAGCTGCCCCAATAAAACAAATGTCATGTCCCAGTCATGCCCAGTCGGCTGACAAATTTGGGGAAATTGATACCATGTGCGCCTGAAATGACATCAGATGGGAAGAAAGAATCAGACCTAATACGTTCACAACTAAACTCTATATTTGATATAAAAATTATGGGAAGTCAGGAAAACGCCACCAACCACTTAACAATAAATGCCCTATCGGCCACGATGGAAACAACATGTGAATGTGAAATTGTTTCAACGTTGTTTCAATGAAGTGCCTCCTCGCACTTTTAACATTGTTGGCATTTGGCGTTTCTCGGCCTGAACTTGCTACAAGATGGCCCTAAAGTATTGGATATTAGACATTGCTTGGATTGAGGAGGGAAAAAAACAGCAAATAGGTGAGTTTTCAGCAAGTGACAGAGGATATTTTCCCCCCAAAATCCGTGATGAGGTGAAGATATATACCACAAAGTAATGTTTGTCATGAGTCTCTTTGTAGTTACGGCTTCCTTCATTGGGCGGTTATGATGGTGAAACCAAATAAATGTTTTATTGGCCATCCTATTATTACATATACACAACAAATTGATGGATTATTAATTTTGGAATCAGAAGTCAATCATAATCGTTTGTGGAATTGTTGTTCAAGTTACTGTAAAAAAGCATTAAAAAACAATGTTATTATTTATTACACTTGGCTATTTAAAATTTTGGTACAGATTTTAGAAATTAACCAACATGATTCGCTTTCGGGGGCCACATAAAATGTTGTGGCAGGCCGGAACTTGCCCTCAGGCCTTGATTTTAACACTGGTGCTATACCATTTCCATTAGAGCTCAAATCACTGGTTATGCTATGACTGGAATCATAACCGTTCCTTCTGGCTGTCCTCCTCTCTCGTCCAGTTGGTGCTGGATGCCGAGACAGTCCGCATGGTCAATCTGCCCCAGAGCCAAGGAGGAGTTTCTGGAAATGCCGAAGGTCTCTTTGAGGTGTGCGTGTGTCCCAGTGGAAAGCTCTTTCTGTCCAAGGCTGGGGTCACCTCCACTTGCAGTGATAACCAGGAGTGCTAAGATGTGTGTGTGTGTGTGTGTGTGTGTGTGTGTGTGTGTGTGTGTAAATCTAGCACATCCTCGAACAAACACAACTCCCCCTGCTGGTGGGGATCTTATAGCGATGTGATCCACACAAGCTTCAAAACAAAAACAAACATTTGTGATTGTAGACTGCAGGAAACACACACACACACACACACACACACACACACACACACACACACACACACACACACACACACGCACACTCGCACGCGAATCATGGCTGGGCAATGAGGAGCTGCTTTTGTAGACTGCAGGAAACAAACACACACACACACACACACACACACACACACACACACACACACACACACACACACACATACACACGCGCGCGAATCATGGCTGGGCAATGAGGAGCTGCTTCGCAGCTTACATCCTATGCAATATAATCTTGTGGTGCAATACAAAGTGACACATGGGGCTTGGAGTGTTGTGAGAAAAAAATAGAACATGATATATATTCAGGGTATACTAGATCAGATTAGTTGTGATTTTTTTTGGGGGGGGGGATTTTGACGCTCTAAGGTTTGTGTTTTGGTTTGGTATTTAGCATGTTTGCCTGATTGTGGAAGAATGAGGGAAAATAATGATGTACCAGTTTCATTAGGCACAGCTGCACAATCCAATTCGGTTCAATACACGAGCTGCATTCAACATGATTTAGAACATGTTTGATTGACATTTCACAGTTACATTGATTTGGCATTATTATTATTATCATTGTTTGTATTTTGGAGCAGCGCAGAACTAATATTTACCTTATTTAGCAACATGAGAGGATCAAACGCTCTCTGCAGCTCCACTACAAACTAACCGTAATAATGTTAAATCGATACCTCTTTGATACTGGGCATAATTATCTTTGTAAAGACGGAATTTTTGATACATATATTTTGGACCTGATTAGCTGATTAGATATGCAGGTGTACCTCATGTAATAATTAATAATAATTTGGTTTAAAAGATAACGTCACTATCTCAAATGTAGGTAGCAAACTGGATTACAGGGTGGATATTTTGATAACAGCGTTACATCTAGTTGAATTTGTGTCCTTTTTTGTCAAACTGTCTCATGCAAAAACACAAGTTTATTGTTCAATTTTCGATTTCATTTTGAAAAGATCTCCTCTCGCCCAAAAGAAGATAATGACAAATATAAAACAATAAAGTTATTTGTGTTGTAAGATGATGTCTTTTTTTTTCTTCCTGTAATGGCATACAGTATTGACTGTGTCACAGTGCCGTTTTGTGATACAGTTGCAGTTAGATTTGGCCTATTTTTGAAAAGTATGGAATGTGTATTGAATGATTTGGCATCTCCAATAAATATTGTGCTCTTCTTTTCAGACGTGTCTAAGCAATAGTTTCACAATTATTTCAAGACCATTTAAAATTTGCATGAAGGTGGAACGTTTTCATCACGTTTAAAGCAAAAGTATCATATTTATATTACGAAGTGAATATTTGATTAAATCTTATGGAACGTGACATCAAAATGACTAAACGTGGGTCATCACGTTTAAAGCAAAAGTATCATATTTATATTCCGAAGTGAATATTTGATGTAACTCTTATGGAACGTGACGTCAAAATGACCAAACTAGGAAAAAAAACGCACTCCATTTCCACATTTTGGTTCTCTGTCGCTCTCTAGTGGACATTTCTATTACTTCAAATGTACAGACGATTGTTGCATCTGTCTGTGGTGTTCATTTTGAACATATCCTTCAAAATGTACTTGCTCAAAAAAGTAGGAAAACCAATTCATTTCTTAGTTGAGGAAAAACTTTACAAGAAATTCCGGTCCCGTTTTTCCGGTTGTGTCCGCATTCTCAAATACCGCCTTTATGCACCAACAATACGAGCGCATTACTACGACGTCACATTTGTCTCGAACCATGAAAAAAGGGGTCGATTGGTTGTTGTTTGTCACATCACCATAAAGACTGGAAGATTCAACAAAAGGTATAAAACCACAATCATCACCATAAAGACTGGAAGATTCAACAAAAGGTAGAACCACAACAATTTTCTGGGCTAAGCATTTGAATTTCCAAGCAATTCAATGTTGAAATAATTTATTGGGCCTTCTGATGGCACGGCTTACATCCACACGACACAATTCTACTGTACCTGTACTTTAATTCGAGTTCTCTCGACTGCGTCCTTTCAAGCTTCAGGTAATAACAGATGACAATGGCATAACATTTTAAAAGACATTTCCAGTGCGGTTAAATGTGCGAATGAGCCTTTAAAGGAAAAAAAAAATGCTGTTCTCTATTCGCTAATGTTAAGAAGGTGAGTGGAGAATCTTGCATGTTCCAGCTGGACCTGAATTGCACTTAAAAATCTCCATAAAACTACAAAGTATTCAATTTTCTGTTCGTTTGTTATCTGCAACACTGTTTTTATGAATTGTTCAATAAACGGCATCGTAGTTTGTGCCGTGTAAAACAGAGACTAAGTTCATTTGAGCAGGTAAAGATGATTCATAGTCACAAAATCTGTATGCAACATTTATGTATTTGACATTGCTGAGGCAAAATTATGGAGAACGAACAAAAGAAAGACAGAAGAGACCAAATTCACAGTGGATTGTTCCAAGAAGATGAGACAAGTGCAAGACCATAAATATATTTTTGAAAGGTGCTTCCTCCATAAAGAAGAAGACTACAATTGCAGAATATGTCCAACTTCGGCATTAATGAAACAAATAGAATACACAAATACAAAAAGAAGTATAACAAATGTAACAGGGACATTGCATAACAATGTCTAATACTTACAGATTACCTGCACTTTTTCCAGTTTGAGCACATCGCTTACATTCCTGTTTCTGTGGCAATAAAATAGATAAATACAATCTTGTAAAAAAATAGCAGTAAAAAGCAGCATTCAAAAAAAAAAAAAGTCAACATCCTGTACTTTGGGAAACACAACATTGCTGAGGCAATCATATGTACAGCTGATGCACATTTATAACAGCAAATGTGCGTTGCGGCAGCCTGATCTGTAACGGGAGCCGCACACTCACAGTCACACGTGCATAGGTAACCGTAAGCTGCCAGCTGCTGTAGATACCTCCTTATTGCACACATCCACTGGTCATCAGTGCATTTACATTTTTTGCTGGACAAAGTTTTCAAGCTTTATGATAATCCTCGCTGTACATTCCATCACCCTCATGGCTACTTCAGACGTGAATCTGTCATTGGGGATCTGTGGAAAGGGCAGAAGATCGGGGTAGCGGGTTCGCAGACTGTCCACACCGTAGCCTTCCAGTATTTGAACATCACTGGCGAGTCCCGACAAATGAGAGTTGTACTCCTCTACTTTTTGCGCCAGGGCCGTTGGCTTCACGTCTTTATCCGACTTTCCTCGGACGGCGTAGTCTGCGGCAATGAGGGCGAGCTTTGTGGCCAGGTAGCATTTAAAGCAGACCCACTCATTGGCGTTTTTGTGGAGGTCATTGCGAGCCGCAGAGTAGTTGGCTCGGGCTTGTCTCAACCACCTGCGAGCCTCCACGGGGTTTCCTACCGTCTTAAAAGTCGGCGGCACGAAAAAGCGGTGGTTGTGTGAGTGTGAAGCAGCATAGCTTGGGTAATCTCCCCGAGACTGTTGCCTATCCGGCTTGTGACTTGTTGCTTCCTGGTTCCAAGACGAATAAAACCTTTGGAAGGAGGACTTCTCTGACTGGAAGCGAGCGGAGGATGTTGAGAAAGGTCTCCTGGATGCTCGGTCTGTATTCTGCGGGTCAGACAAAGGCTGCTTTTCCATTCTGTTGATTTCATTCTGCAAATGCTTAAAAACCTCCGTTGCAATGTCCAAATTCTCCGCGTTTTTGTCCGGGTGCCACTTGAGATATAGTCGGCGCAGAATTTTCTTTCTCTCCGTCTCGGGAAGTTTCCAAGCTTGCTCAACTACTGAGGTGACTTCTTTCAGGATCTCTGGCAGAGCTTTCAGCTTGATCTTTTTGGGGGACTGTTTTTGTGTGGGAGGTCTCTGGTTGTCTCTGCTAGCAAAAAGAGGGTGGGCCATTTGCTGCCCCGAGGTGCGACTGTCTGGACTTGTGGGCGTCGATGGGGCGCTGCTTTCCTGCACGTTGGCACTTTCGTCTTGTCTGGAGAATTTGTACAAGTCAAGGGAGCTGACTATTTTGTACTCGCTGTAACCAATGTCAATCTGGAAACATTTTCCCAGGAAAGTGGCATTTTCCTCCCCTTCTCGTTCTACTTCCTGAACAATGATTGCATATGTGTACGTGGGATGATAGGAGCCATATACATCTCCTCCTTCAGAGTCAACAAGATAACCCACATACTCTCCAGGGTAGAAAACATTCATTGGGTCCATGAGGAGGGTGTGATGTATCTCAGCAGGAATTGGTGTTCCAGGGAGGGGTAGCTCAAGTTTGGAGGGCTCCGTGGAGTCATACTTGACACCGAGGTTGTCCAGCTTCTCTGTGATCCGGTAGATGTCATTGCAGCCCAACATGGCAATTAGATAAGAGGTGTCTGAGATCAGATTGTCCGTAGCAGACTTCAGTGTCATGGCCAGAGCTAAGAGAAAATTGATGTCTTTGCTGTCGGAATGCTGGATGTAGAGGTGAATGACAGCGGTGCCGTACCTCTTGAGGAAGGCAAGGGTTTCACTGCGGCTATGTGGGATGGGGCTGCATCCTTTTACTCTTAAGGTTGTCTGGAGCTTCTCAAAGCAAGATACTTTCAGCCCTTCGCAAAGTGCTTTGCAGAGCCGTATGGCTTTTTCCTCATTGACAAGGTACGCATTGTCATTCTCGTGCTTCATTATTCGGATCAGTCCTGTGATGAATTGTTCAGAGGAGAGCAACAACTGGAGGCGACCTTGGAGTGAACACAGAGCTCCAAACTGGCACATTTTGGGGGACTCTTCGTCCAGTTGCTCTTCAAGAATGCTGCTCAGTAGTCTCGGCCTTAGATTCTGAGGAAGCAGCATGATTAACTTGGTATGGAACGTGTGATCTTTGCCCAGATAGCATTGGCTCAGATCCACAAGCATCTGAACGCCAACGTTACCCTGAATTCGACTCTTGTAGTGCGGAGCGTCATCATAGACCAAACTACTGGATTTGGCTAATCTTCCATCATGACTTGGCAGATAAAAGAGCAAATCTCTGAGACTCTCCAGATCTTTCCGCATTTCCACGGGCTCATTATGAAGAGCCTTGAACAATCCGGACACAGCCCTTTTCACGGTCCTCATTTCATTCGGGTCAAGCTGCTTGCCTTCAGAACTTCTGTAGATCCGACACAGCACCTCAACATATTGTTTGGTTGACACAATGTCCTCTGTGCCAAGAAGTTTAAACAGTTGATGGAAGGTGCCAAGGTCCAGGGGTAATTTGTATAAGTAGGGCTTGAAGTCCGATTCATTGTCCAAATTGATCACAACTTCTTCGGGTTTCAGCAACTTGAAGCCATCCTCCACCATGACAAAAGCCACCCCGCGAAGCTGGTTGCGAAAATCTCTTTTATCTGCATTTAAAAACTCATATGTGGACCTCAAAACTTTGTTCCTAGTTTTTACCATTTCATCATCTGGATTGGATATGTTGCAGACATTCTTGCAGTTACCAATGACTTTTTCCAATGGCGGGTCCAAGTTGACCCCCAATGTGGCTAGCACTTGATCAAGTTGCTCTTGTCCAGTTAGTGTGGTTCCCTCCTGCTCCTTGATGCTTGAAGGGGTAGCTTTTTCAGGCAAAATTGGGCAAGCTGTCCACAGTAAGTGAATTACATCTGTTTGCTTGAATTTGGGATTGACCTGAGACCCGCTGAACCGAATAAGAGGAAGTGTTCCATTCATTTCTTGGTATTGAGAATGAAGCTTGATCAATTCTTTGGGCGCTCTCTCGGGACAAAGAAATGGTATCAATGAGAGCTCTTTCAGAAAAGTACTTTGAAACAAATCCACCCTTTCTTTGAAAATATGATTCAGGAGAACATCGATGATGTTTTGCACTTTGTCTTTGGTCCAGCTCTCGGTTTGTGATTTGATGCTGACCTCTTTTGCAAACTGAAGAATTTGCTGCTGGGACACTTCATGCTTCAAGCCAATTTTCCTCAGGAAGGTTATCCAGGGCGTGAGCGACAATGATACATTCTTGGGTTTTGACAATTGCTCAACTTTCCTGAAGAAATCACTTGGTATGAACGACTTGGCAGGAAGCATAACTTCAAACACCTTCACTGTTTGGTCAAAGAAAAACTTGGCTGACCTGAGTCTGTTTGAATAGTCATAGATAAAGGTCAGCCCTTCCAATTTGTCAAACAGATGATCCCTCATTTCACACGACTCTTCCATTGACAATAGTCTGTCCTTCAAGTAGACAATGTGTTCGGCTTTGGCGTTATAGGAAAGACTTTCAAACTTTGGCAGGAGATGATGAAGGTAAATTTGTATGTCATCAATTGGCATGCAGCCAAGGAAAGTGTACAGCTCTCTCAATTGCGGGCTATCGGCAAGAAATGCACAAGTGGCTGTGTGGGCCCACTTCTCTATATCTGCCGTGGGAATGTTTTTTGCAAGCACATAAGTGGAGCCATAATTTGAAATGCTAATGTATCTTCCACTCACGGCTTTGAAGCATGGGAGTAGTTTTAGGCTCTGTGCATCCTGTTGTGTGAGGCTCGCTAGGTTGCAGGTGAAATACAACAGAAGTGCCTCAAAGTCCTTATCGGTTAGGCTTCCGGCCTTGAATGCAGACGTCTGAATCATGTACTCAAGAGCTTTCAGAACACTTGATGGATTTTCAATGTTTGCTGTATGGTGTGACAGAAACGGCATGAGTGGATTTTCTTTGACACAGATTTTGTTCACAGCTAGTTGAATGCATCCCGCTTTCATTAGGGTGTGGAATATTTTGTCATTTTGGCCATGGGGAAATATGGCTATGTTCATTAAACTCAGGGGTAAAAGCATGTCATACTCGGGAATAACGAGCTTTTCTCTCGCCATGAACTTGATACCAGGTACCAAAGCCCAGTCCTTGAGGATGTCAAGGACCGTGTCAAAATTTGGTTTGATATCCTGCTGCTCCTCCATGAGTGCCACATTCTCGCTGATGAAGTTCCATAGACCCTTAAGCCAGGATTCACTTCCAAATGTGTCTCGCCACTTAACAGGAACCTTTGTTCGATACTCTCTTGGAAGAACAGATCCCAGAAGATCACCAAAGCTGCTGATGTCAAATACCTTTGCTAGTTCCGCCTTCAACAAGATGGCGCTGTATTTGAGATGCATTGTATTCACGAACATCTCCTTTCTGGATGGAATGAGCTCATGGTGTGATGTTAGA